CAACTTGGGCCAGTGAAGCAACGTCCTCCACAACTAGACTGAAGAACAAAATGACAGCAACTTGTCTGTTCCCCTTCCCCTGATTCCCCAGCGCTGTTCCCATCCCCCAATACCCCAATAAAAATCTTAAAAAACAAAACAAAACAAAAAACACTCCCTTCTGCAGTGGCAGAGCAATGGCTGCTTCCGGGGGTCATGGCCCATCAGAGATGCCAAGTAGGAAGGAAGCCCCTGGCTCAAAAAGGTAGAAAGTGCCACATGGAAAATGCTTCGAGATGTCAGGCCCCTTCTGCAGCATTACACAAAGTCCAGGAAAGGCTGCCCAGTGGGAAGGCTCCCAACCAGGTGGACCACTGCCACCGAGAGGCAGGCCAGGGTAGAAATAGCTTTCGGGGCAGGCAGGACAGCATGCAAAGGTGATCCTTAAAACCAGAGGTGCTAACTTGCTGCAGCCCCAAGTGACATCTGGTTGGGGCCACTGGCACTGTTCCTTTCGCTCCAGAGGCTGGCTTCCTCAGCAGCTGGCTGCCTGGCCCTAAAGCACATGTTAATTAACTTCCTTGTATTATTGAGAGATGGGAGAAGAGGGGTGAGCAAGAGGAGCAGAAAGGAAAGTAACAGCTACTGCTTAACAGGTCTGTCGTAGCCTCGCCTCCAGCCCTTTCCTAATCTCATTTCACAAATAGGAGTAGGGACAGTGACATAGGAAACTAAGGGTCAGGGAAGGTTACACTGTGCACAGGCAAAGAAGCAGAGATTCGATCTGAGTTTGACAACCACACTGGGCTCTTAACTCACGGAATTTGAGGGAACCTGCAACTCTCTTGCTATAACCCTTAGAGAAGCACCTCCGGTCTATAAAGGTAGGGGACTCATTTGCAAGTTGCTTTGGTGTCATCTTGTTAGTTTCCTTTCCTTATGTCCTTCAAAACTCAGCTCCAAGGGCCAGCGCGTCCGCCCCTCGAGGGCAGGACCCACAGTTACGGTGCTGCACCCGCTCCCTCCATTCGCCTGGGGTGCTAGGCTGGGTTGCCAGTACTCACTGTGCGCCTCCACCAGGTCAATCTGCATGTTGTATGGGACCAGGGGGTCTGGCAGTTCTGAGAAAAAGCTCTTCATGGCACCAGCCACGGTGTTCACTGTAAAGTCTTTCTCTGCCAAGTCCAGGTTGTGGTCTGAAAGGAAGTTGAGAGAGTGAGGCCAGACCAATCTAAACTGGGCAGAGGCAAAAGGCAAACTCAGTGCTCGGGGGAAGTCAGAGAAACCTCGAGGACCACGGGATACTGCCTAGGGCTGGCCTGGGGCCTGGGCAGGGACTTGAGATGATCACAGGCTGGACAAAAGGTGGCATTCCTGGGTGCTGCTAAGAAAAGGTTCTGAGATTCACAGACAGAGGCTGACACCCAGCGCCTCCTTCCAAGGTCACCCTGTGAGTAGAGGAGCTGCACCCCTCATTACGTGCCATCCAGGTCTCCATATCTGCTTGGATGTATTGCTACCTTTTCTTTACATGCCTTCCCCTCAGGGAAGAAAGGGAGGACGCTTTCCTGCAAGGCTGACTCACTTTTCATGGTGGGTTACAGACACATTACCATCTAGTCCCTCATGGTGATAGGGCAAATAGACTCGTTCTTCTCCCTCGGGCCCCTTCCAGCTTATGATGCCACTGACCTCTGTTTTTTTCTTTTCAGACTTTATTGCATTCCTGATTTGTAAGTAATCACCTGCTGTTCCCATTTAGCAGGTTATAAATCATGTTACAGATTCTCGCATATACAGTACATGTGCATACCCAAGCATGTGGCTATACCCTCATCTGATCTCATGTTTCCTATCCTGCAAGGTTAACAGGCGTTTCCCTTCTCTCGTGTGTCACTGCCTCCCACTGCCAGCTAGCAGGGACTGACTACGGTGTTGCAAAGCGCTATGGCCCCTGGGTGTTTGGGCAGGGTGCCTGCTCCTGGCTGGCTGTGCACTGGCCAGCTGCTTTGTCGTGCAGGCCAGCATGGGCTGCCTGGCTTCTGAGCCTGGCTTGGTCTCCTCAGGCCCAGCCATGTGCTGAGTTGGACCCCACGCTGATCCTCAGCTTACCTTCTTCTCTGGCCAGTGACATCTGAGAACTTTTGATTGCTTTGGCTCATTTGCTTCTGGCACTGGGACTTTTTGTCCCACAGTGCACTCAGTTCTAAGCCAGGTTAGGATAAAATAGATTTGGCCTCTCAGAACTGACCTAGCTTAGGAGATGGGAGTGCCTGCCAAAAGTGAGTCTAACTCATGAGACTTCAGCTTTGGGAGTCTGGATCCCAGACTCAGCTGATCACAGAATATTCCCTTACTTTCTTTCTCTTGTGCACGGACTTTGTGAGGACGACACTGGCAAAATAGGATTATCTTCTCAAGCCAACTTTTGTACCACGTGCCCACAATGACACCTGCATGGCCAAGTCCCAGGGAAGCAAGGCCCTTCGGTGGTGAATGAGGCACATGCCAGAGTGACGTGGATCAGTGTCTGTGGGTGGTGATGTGGGGGAGCAGCTGGCTGTCGCAGGCTTGGCAGAGTGATGCTTCCATTTGCTAACAGGGCCTCCTCCTCCATGGCGGTGTGACCACGGAGTCAAGGCTAACTGGGGCCAAGTGATTTCTCCTTCTCAGTCACCGAGCCAGCACCTATTGCTTTGGGGCCGTGTGGCAGGAACACCCCTAGGCCCCACAGGGCCAACCTGAAGCTCCCTCGAGGAGCTCCACTGGCAGCTGGGCTGCCGCGGCTGCCTTGACCAGCGCCAGCCTCTATGTGCGGCGGGGCTGTGGCCTTACCTTGATCAAATTGTCTCTGCAGGCTCTCCATCTCGGACTTGTTCCCGCTGACCCGGTAGATGCCTTCAGTGCTCAGTCCTGAGGAGGAACAAGCAAATGTCTTAGGAGCAGGAGGTGGGGGGGCAGGGGCTGAGAAGGACTGGACTCGAGGGGAGAAGGGGCAGTGCCCGAGGTGCCCACCATGAGAGAGGAACGGGGCGAAGTGCTCTTGACTCTTCTAGATGCTTCAACCCCCTTCCCCCCATAGTCTTTTTCACTTAAAAATTTAAAAATACTTATATTTTATAAAAATTAAAATAATATAGAGGTACATCAGCCATAGATAACTTTGGTCCACATTTTGATGTATACTCTTGCATTTTAATTTTTTAACAAAATGGAGATAATACTATGTTTTAACCCACACTTTCCACTTACAAAGTATGTTGTGAATTTAATCATTAAATATTCTTATTTTGTTACAACATGATTTTAAAGACATTGAAGTGTATAATAACTTTAAAAATAGTCCTATTGTTAATCATTTAGGCTTTCCCAAGTTTTCACTGTTAGAGATAACCCACAATTACGTTTTTTATGTTTTTTGGATAGCTGGTAAGTTTAACAGATTCTTGGCATTGTATATTTCTTACTTTGTTGAATTTCCTATTCATGTTCTTGTTCCTTTTCTTGTAGGAGTGGTTCTCGTTTTGTACTTGAAAGAGGTTGTAGAATATTAAGGAACTGACTATGTTAATGTTATAAATGTTTATATTTTGTCCATTTTTGTTATCTGCCTTCTACTTTTGTGTATTAAATTTTTTAAAGTACATAATTCAAAAATTTTAGGTTTTTGGGCTGGCTGAGTGGCTTGTTGGTTAAGAGTTGGCTTGGGAGCGCAAGCTCTGCACAGCAGGGCTGCGGGTTCGAATCCCACATGGGCCAGTGACGCTGCGCCCTCTACAGCTAAGATGGTGAACAACAGCTCGACCTGGAGCTGGGCTGCCGTGAGTCGCCTCACTGCGAAGGCATAGGCTGCAGTGGGCTGCCGTAAGCTACTGTGAGTGGCCGGCAGCCAGCGTTAGTGGCCGGCAGCCGGTGTGAGCTGCCGTGAGCAGCTGTCCAATGGCTGGCGACCGATCTGCCTCAGCTGGGAAGAGCGCAATGATCACAATACCAACATGGGCCAGTGAAGCAACGTCCTCCACAACTAGACTGAAGAACAAAAGGACAGCAACTTGTCNGACAGGTTTCTCTGAGCGTGGGAAGACATCCTGACGGCTACCTCTTGGAACTGAAGGCTACCTCTAGCAATCCAGGGCTTTAGAAACACTATAGCAGGGTCGTCCCTTGAAGAAACTGCAAGCTGTCCCATAACTGAGGGTTGTGGGGGTGGGTGGACAGGGTCCATTAAGAAATACGATCGGGGCCGGCCAAGTGGCTCAGTTGGTTAAGAGCTTGCTCAAGAGTGTGAGCTCTGAGCAACAGTGGTTCGATTCCTGGCCCGAGATGAGCTGCCGCTGAGCTGCCAACAGATGGCAGGATGGCTCAGCTAAAAACAAACAAACAAACAAACAAACAAACAAACAAACAAACAAACAAAACAATGATGGTTCCTGCTTGGTTTGGGGGAAGGGCTCCTTTGGGATGGAGGAAAACACTGGACCCTCTCCACAAAAATAAGCTGTGTACAAGTCTGCCTGTGATTCCTGGGGGTTCGCAGATTCCCCAAACCCATGTGTTTTTTAGGAAGCCTGTAGCCTCCAAGTTATGAACCTCTGTAGTAGGTGATGTGACCAGAGAGTCACAGTCTGGGGAAGTATGCAAGGAGTCTGGCTCAAGCTAGACTTGGAAGGACAGATGGACCGACACAGCTGGCAGGGAGGAAGGGGGTTCAGGGAAGGCTTGGCAGGGAGGAAGTGCCGTGTGGTAGTCCAGAGTCCAAAGCCGACCCACATAATCCTGGGTCTAATCCTGTCTCTGACACCACAGAACTATGTGCCCTTGGGGAAGTGACAAATCTGAGTGTCAGTCTCCTTGCCTGTACAAGGGGCTGATGACAGTGCCTCCCAGACTCAGTGACGACATCATGTGAGGTGAAGAGCTCAGGGCTGGATACGCAATAAGACCAGGAGGCTAGTCTGACTTTCAGGGAACCAAGTGGAAGGGAAAACTGCAAAGATGGGCGACACAGCTATCGAGAGCATTTGCTGGCAGGCCAATGAACATGAAACTGGGCACACTTTCTGACTTGATAAAAACAGTGTTTTTTGCTAATACTGTTTGTCTGTTAGAAAACGAAAAACAAAACAAAACACAGGAACTAATTATGTGGGGCCATTATCAGCTTCCTTTCTCTGAACCCAAGATTTATTTTAAGGGTTCAACCTCAAGGGCACACTCTCTCTGGCCTTGAGTTTCAAAACACTTTCCTGTTAAGTTTCAAGAAAAAAGTTTACTTCAAGTAAGCATCTCTAGGAGGATAAGCGATTGTACTGAAGAACACGAGAGGCACGTGCATGGCTCAGAGTCTCAGTAAAATAAGAGTGCCCCTTCCAGATGCAAGCTCAGCACAGGTCTCTCCCCTCGGTGGTGCCCGGCATGACACAAACACAGCTGTGTTTGTTTTAATTAGCAGCACCTTCGCCTAAGAGCTCAGCCTCACTGGCCCTCCTGGTTGGAGGCAGGAAACGGGGCTGGCAAGGCCATCGTCTGCCCTCTCCTTCCTATCTGCTGAGCAACAAGGAGGGTTGCTTCCTCTCGCTTTTCCTTGGGGGGGAGGTGGGGGCAGGGTGGAGGTAACAGAGCTCGCCTTGATAGAAATTCATGGACAGGCCCCAGAAATGCTAGCCTCCTTCCTGACACAGTGAGGTGCCTGACAAGGGCCTAGGTGGCCCACCTCCTCATGCTCCCTGTCCCTCTCTCCCACTAGCTGCACAGGTCAGGTGCTCACAAGTGTCGAGGAGCCTCCAGAGGAGCCTCGGGCATGTGGCGGGAGGAGAAGGAAAAGTCATCAGGAGAGCAACAGGAAGTCTCCCAGTGCAAAGCCTGGACCTGTGCCTATCACACAAAAAGCAAGGCCCATCTTGCTGACGTCCTTCTGACTCGACCTCATTCACCTCCCGCAAGTGAGCGAACCTCCACCAGTGCCGAGGGGCCTACTCCAGGCTCAAATTGGCAGCCCTGTCACGGTAGTCACGACACCAGTGATTTCCTACTTCTGGAGATGCCGGAATGTTGGTGGGAAGATTTCACAGTCGCTCTTTGTGCAGCCCTCACCACTACCCAAGTGAAGGTGGGGCTGGGTTTACCCCACATGCTGGCTGAGAAAACCCACTCAAGAGGCACAGGCTGGTGAGCGGGAAGGTGGGGTGGGCCCCAGGCCCTGTGTCTCCGTTCAGCACACCTGCCTTCCACCGGGCTGCAGACCGCTTTCCAATTTTAATAATCCTCTTTGAAAGAGGTGGGGAGGGTCTTTATAGGGCTTGGACCTCCCCAACTAACACACCATACATTTGAAATTAGGTATCAGTCAACTGAGACAGCAAGACAGTTCAGGAGAGGCATTTTTAGGCCAGTTGAACCAAAATGCAGTCTGTACACAGACCAGGCAATTTAGAGTGAGACCCCAAGAACTCAGGAGAAAGACGATGGGACAGCCGGAGGCCATTAGCGATGTTAGAGAACAGCCCACCATATCCCTTATGGTATACAGATAAACCAAAGCTCAAAGAAGTAAAAATACTGGTCCAAGGTCACACAGATTGGTGCCAGGGACCCTGATCCTAAACACCATTCTTGTCCTGGCTGGACCACTCTGTTGCCTCCTTTGGCACCCAGGATGCTAAGCAGGCTCCAGGCCAGGATCTGCCGCCGCCCAACTGGGTGCCTAGAGAAAGCTCCCTGATGGCCTCTGACCACCTGGCATACCTGCAGCACAGGAAAGGACAACACCCGGCTTAGGGCCACACCCCTCAGTGAGGTATGCAGGCGCGCTGGTGTGCAATCCCCACCTCTCCCTCAGGTGGGAAATGACTCTAAGACCTCACTCTGGAAGATTCCGGTGTCCTTCTCCTGGAGGCATGACCTTGCAGTAACCTGCTCAATGTCTCCTACCCCACCAGACGGAGGCAGGGACTGTGCCCTAGTACGTCCCTCTCCCACTCGGGGCCTGGCACGTGCTAGAAGGTGAGGAATACCCCTGTGACCGTGACCATAAGCAGCTATCTGGGCAAACAGGAGGAAGCAGGATCCCAGGATGTGCAACATCACAGGCAGCTTGTGAACAAGAGGCTGTGAGCAGCAAATGGCAGGTTCTCCTGGTGACGTGCCCGTCTGTCATTTACAATCACAGACCCTAAGCTCTCATCTGTAAATGGGAGACGGTCGGTCAGCTGGTATCCTGACCCATTTGGGTCACACACCCCTTGGACAATCTGATGCATGTTACTGGCCCTCTCTGTCGACTACAATGCGCACATGGAGTTACATGCAGTTATAGGGGCTATAACCTCTGGACCGAGACAGAGCCAGCTCTAGGACTCCTGGCCCAAAAGACATAGGACAGGGCCTGTGGGGCACTGGGTGGAATGGAGAAATTCCAGATAGGTGGTGCTAGGGTCGGGGGTGTTGTGAGGGAAAAGGAGAAGATGTGGCACAAGAATAACTGACAATACTTTTTAAGGGCCAACGTGACGTGTGAGGACGAGATGGAATGGGGAATTCAAAGCTCTTTTCTCTACCTCCTGAAATCCTGGTCCTATCTGAAGCCAAAGCTCAGGTGCCACCTCTTCCACGCAGTCCTCTACCTTACTCCTTCTTCACTGTGTTTTCTACATTGCTAGTTCAGCAGA